AATTATAAAATAGCTTTCTCTTTCTTAAAATTTCCTCTGATTTTTCTTTGTCTTATATTAATATATTAGAACATTTAATTATTTACATGACTTTCTTGGCATTGTTATTATTCTCTTTTTCATAGCATGTTTCTGAATAATAAGTTCCCCTTATTCTTTGTATAATTTATTTATGGAATGAGGAAAAGTAGAAAAGGGACAGTAAAAACTGCATACCACATTCTTTGTCCTATTTCACCAATTTTTTTTTTTTTTGGACTGATCTCAATTTAAATACGAGACTTTATGTCTTCAACATGAATGGCAACATAAACATAAAATAATTTAGCAGAGTACTTAAGCAAATTTATCACTGCATAGACTACAGCAAATAGAATCAATTTTTTCAAAGGACACAACCCACATATAAAAGTTATTTTATGCAGTTTGGAAATTGCTACCATTTTGTAGACTTAGAAATACAACTATATGCTTCTGGTTGCATTCTTATACCTCAGACAAAAATACACTATATTTGAACACCCTTTTCCAAATAAGATGGTTATATTTTCCAATTGGCATATCTAAGTTACTCTAAGAAATCAGAGTCCAAAAGCAATGTGGGCAGATGAGAAATAATAGTGTCTCCAAAATAGTACTGTGTGGTCTACAAGGTGTGAGTTTTTCTCTCATCAAGTATGAATAGAAATATACTTTGAAGACATAGCAGAATACCACTTTCATATCCACTCAAAAATACTCATTATAAAACAAAACAATTGAAGCAATAAAAAGGTATATATCAAATATTTTTACATAATAGTGACATTATAGCTCAAGTGGCCAAAATAACATGAGTTCTTTGAATAAACAGAAATTATGGGTGTGAGGAGCCATCTAAAATTTTACTAACAATCTTCAGGGAGAAAAGTAGCATATGCTTACTTGTGCTTTATTGTGATTAAAAAAAATAATTTTCCTATTGTAACACTTTTTTCTTTTCACTCAAAAAAGTTTAATATACTTGAGGAATACTAACAAGGGAGCAAAAGAGATCGTAAGAAACTTGAAAACTTTCAGTTTAAACATTATGGTGTATTGTGAATATTTCCCCTTTTTATTCTTGGAAATCATTCCAACACACAGACAATGAGGAAATATTATGCAAATATCCTATTTAGAGGAAATAGGAAACAGTGAAATTCTAGACCCAAATTCAAAGAACTGTTTCCTAAAACAGTGATAATAGAGCGTAAGGGTGTACAGGAGGAAACAGAGAAAAGACACTTTGAAGAAACAGTCCAGAAGCTGCAGATTTGAGCCAGCAAACATACTTCCTATAAGGCTAAGGGCACATTATAGATATGAGGCAACAATTTGAGGGAGAAGCATCTATGGAAGCAGTTTGGTTCTAAAAAGTAGACAAAGTGAGGTTAAATGAAGAACTATACAGAAAAATCATATTACAGAAAGCAGTCTACATCTGTGGAAGCAGAGAAGTACAGTCTTTCATGGTAAAATAATAACAACAATAGCAAAACAGAACAAATAACAAAACCCACTCTGTCTATTTCCACTGGCTGGACTGAAAAAACTCTCTTTTCTCAGTGACACATAAGAAAACCTGAGGTCGGGCGTGGTGTCTCATGCCTGTAGTCCCAGCATTTGGGGAGGCTGAGGCAGGCAGATCACCTGAGGTCGGGAGTTCGAGACCAGCCTGACCAACATGGAGAAACCCCATCTCTACTAAAAATACAAAACTAGCTGGGTGTGGTAGCACACGCTTGTAATTCCAGCTACTCAGGAGGCTGAGGCAGGAGAATTGCTTGAACCTGGGAGGCGGAGGTTGCAGTGAGCGGAGATCGCACCATTGCACTCCAGACTGGGCAACAAGAGTGAAACTCTGTCTTGAAAGGAGAGGACAGGTGAGGAGAGGAGAGGAGAGGAGAGGAGAGGAGAGGAGAGGAGAGGAGAGGAGAGGAGAGGAGGAAAACCTGAATAAACATGGAATCTATATAAAGATACTAAAAGGGAAAAGGGAGAAAGGGAAGGAGAGAGGGAGGGAAGGAAGGGAAGAAAGGAGGGAGGAAGAAAGCAAGGAAGGGAGGGAGGAAAAGAGGAAAGGAGAAAACCAAAGGAGATGGGGAGCAAAAACTAAAAACATATTACCATAAACAAAGTTGAAAATTGTAACTAAACATTTCACTGTGAATTTTTAATGTAATGAATAGAAATCACCTTCTGAAAGCAATTATATAGTGCAGATATGCAAGAAGTTAGAGAGAGGTGAGTGAATTAAGAACAGGAGATGAATTTTAAATTACAAGTGCTCAACCAAATGGTACAATGAGAAAAAGTAAAAGTACTATGAAAATGAAAGAGATTGGAAGTAATACAGAGGAAGAGAGACTCCTGGAAGCACAAAATGGTAGCAAAAGTTAAAGTGAAAATGCAAACTAAGTTAATTAGATATTAATAGACTCAAAAGGGATTAGAGAGAAATTGTAGAGTGCACTTCAGACTAAAGATATCCAAAATACATAAAAAAGGAATCCCTGAAAAATAAACCATAAACTTACATATAAGTTAAGAAATTCTTCATGAAATAAAAGAAGAGTTGAATCTACATTTTGGGAAAAAGATAAAAACAAAAATAAGAAAGCATGTCCCTGGGAAAAATAATCCAGAATAGTCAGCACTAAAATAGTCTAGTAAAGTCACTAAACTTCAACTATAAATGAAGAATCCTTTAGTCAGCTAGGCAAATACAAATTCTGTAAATTCTGCAATGCTAGAGACAGAAGGGCAATAGCAATACTCTCCTCAGACAAACTCTACCTTCAGTGTAAGACAAGAGACAAACTCTTTTAAACATGCAGGAATTCAGAAACATTGCTTCCAAGGAACCTTCCTCAGGAATGATTAGAAATGACCTTCAGCCAACCAAGGGATTATTAAAATCACAACAACAAAGGAAACTGTCAACAATGTAAGCCCTGTTAGTAGATCCTCATCCAGTGGAGCCTTCAGAGGATCTTAGTTCCGGACAGCTTGACTGCATCCTCATGACAAAGCCTGCTGCAGAACCTCCCAGCTAAACCTCTCCTAGATTCCTAAATCACAGAAACTGATATAACCATTATTTATTAAGTTGCCAAAAGTTAGAGAAACTTGCTGTGCAACAATAGACAACTAAGACAATGCTTTTAAAAACTATTGAATTTGGGCTGGGTGTGGTGGCTCACGCCTATAATCCCAGCACTTTGGGAGGCCAAAGTGGGCTGATCACTTGAGGTTATCGAGACCAGCCTGGCCAACATGGTAAAACCCCGTCTCTATTAAAAGTACAAAAATTAACCAGGCATGATGGTGCATGTCTGTAATACCAGCTGCTTCAGAGGCTGAGGCACAAGAATTGCTTTAGCCTGGGAGGCGGAGGTTGCCATGAGCCAAGTTCATGCCACTGCACTCCAGCCTGGGTGATAGAGTGAGACTCTGTTTCAAAGCAAAACAAAACAGGCTGGGCGCGGTGGCTCAAGCCTGTAATCCCAGCACTTTGGGAGGCCGAGACAGGCGGATCACGATGTCAGGAGATCGAGACCATCCTGGCTAACAAGGTGAAATACAAAACAAACAAACAAACTAAACAATACAAAACAAACAAACAAACAAACAAAAAAAAATAGCCAGATGAGGTGGCGGATGCCTGTAGTCCCAGCTGCTCGGGAGGCTGAGGCAGGAGAATGGCATAAACCCAGGAGACGGAGCTTGCAGTGAGCCGAGATCCAGCCACTGCACTCCAGCCTGGGCGACAGAGGGAGAAGAAAGTTGTTTTCCACCAGGAAAGAAGCATAGTGAGAAGTGTAGTGAGAAGAGCTTCTAGCGAACCATTTGGGGTTGATATAGGTTCCCTGGATTTCCAGAACTCCCAACACTTGTGCTGGATCCAGGTTTGGAAATTACTAAACACAAGAGACTGTTGCTATACTGCTGCTCTGAGGGCAGGATGGTGATAGCTACTCTGGGAATGGCTTGTATGCCCAGAGTTTGTCCGGAAAAAGATAAATGGAGATAAAGGAAGGTTTATCGTCAGATAGATGTGGACAAGGTAGGAGAAACACCCAGCCAGGAGATATCTCAGTGCCATTTTCATCATGAGAGACATATGAATGAGCCATAGAACTCAACAGTAAGAATCTACATGCGTTAGAAAACCACAGCTATGATCTTAGAGAAGAGAGAATATTTGACTCATTAAGAAACTGCAGGAGAGACATTCCCAGCGAATAAGGGATTTCCAAAAACTCAGAAATTTACTCCAAGAAAAAGAGGCAACTTTTAATCTGATGTGGCCAAGATAAAATAATAGCTTCACTCTTTCCCTTTAAGCCATGAAACCACAGTTGGAAGACTGGGAGTTGAGAGCAAAGTACAGACTAAGAAAACCAGGGAAGCAGCTGACCACAGCACTCCTTTCACACCAAGCAGAATAACACTATGGAAGGGAGAAGCTTTAACATTAGTAAGTTGCAGCATTTTGATTACATGGAAACGTAATTAATTAATTAATGGGACCTTGTATCTTATCTAAAGGTTACAAGCTTAAAATTTTAAAAGCTCTGTAATTGTAACCCAGACCTTCAAACCTTGAACTGTTACTGACTGGTAACACTACTACAGTATATTAACTCATGCCTCACCAGTTATATAAGAAACCAGTTTCCAGAACCAAATTGTCATATGGCTGAGCATACCATACTTGTTCTGCCATGGTCTCATCCAGGCTGCCCTGAAGAATATATTTATAAGCCATTTTTAGAACAACGAATAAGCCTTGATTGGAATGGAGCTAAAAATTAAGAACCTTAATGTATTTTGTGGACAGTACAATATACTGTTGAATAAAAGCAGCTCTCATTTTTCTTATTTTTATCCTAACATCAGTTATTGGTTCTAAAATACTTGCAATTCTTTAATTACAATAAACAAATAAAAATAAAACAAAGATCTGGCAACATTACCTTTGAATATGATACTCTGGATTACAGAGATGTAGTCTTCAGGTTCCTGCTCAGTTGAGATCTCCCATCTGCTTTGAGAGATATTTAATAATTCATAAAGCTGATGTGAACTCATCACTCCACAAAGCAAAGTAACTACACTTTCTGGTGAATTAAGTATCTTTTCCAGAAACTGACATTTCTTTGGAGTTAGGTCTTTAAGCAGGCTATTTGATAATATCAAAAGTTTACATTTGTAAGAGGTTAAGTTCAGCAACTCCAAATGCCGAAAAGAGAAATTCTCCAAGCGATATAACAGGATCGCGTCCCTTTGCACAACATGTAAAAATACTTCTGTCAAGTACAGAGCCCATTCCTCAGCGTCCTCTTCATATATCATTATGATGTCTTTTGTATTTCCTGAAACAGAAAAAATATTTTCTTATATTTGCAATGCTATCAGCAGGTTATTATTTTTCAAAAATTTTAATATGCCTATAGGCAATATATTAAGTTGCTGATACCAGAGAAAAACTACATGAAAGTCATTCATAGTATTAAAAAACCATAGATTAAATAAAACTAGAATTCAAAGATAAGTTGATTTAAATTTTAAAAAGAATGATAAGAAAAAGTATAATAAATAAGAAAAGAAGTTGAGAGCCAAAACAATACAATTACCCAGATAATAAATAAATTAGAAAAAGAAATGAGTAGATTAGACATAGATAATGTTATAGATAATATTTTAACTTCTGGCCCAAAAGAAAAGTTTGATATTTTCATAGTAATTCAAAAAAATAAATAAATAAAGGAGGAGAACAAGGCTAACACAACTGTTGAAAATATGATACATTCAGTTGAGAGTTAAGAGAAAAGATTCAGTATAAGGATGATCCAAAAACCTGAAGTAGAAGAGAATAATATACACATTAAAATGTTGCAAAACATATAATTTTTAATAATTTTTAAAATCCTTGTAATAAGACAGATAAAGGAGCCAGCTTTATGGATCAGTGTGAAACAATCAGGCTCCAACTAAAACTGTTAAAGAAAACAGATCTTGCTGGGCGCGGTGGCTCACAACTGTAATCCCAGCATTTCAAGAGGATGAGGCGGGCGGATAACGAGGTCAGGATATCGAGACTATCCTGGTTAACACAGTGAAACCCCTTCTCTACTAAAAAGACAAAAAATTAGCCGGGTGTGGTGGTGGGCACCTGTAGTCCCAGCTACTTGGGAGGCTGAGACAGGAGAATGGCTTGAACCTGGGAGGCAGAGCTTACAGTGAGCGGAGATGTGCCACTGCACTCCAGCCTGGGCAACAGAGCTAGACTCTGTCTCAAAAAAAAAAAAAAAAAAGTAAAAGAAAAGAAAAGAAAAGAAAAGAAATCTTGATTACATTGCCCTTGACTTAATGATAATTATAAAATTTCTTCACATATCCAGGAAGGAAAACCAAGTCACCACGATAAGAAAAACGTGAAGTTGGTATTGATTTCTTCAGAGCAATTTCCAGATGAATTATAGGAAAATTTTTATAAAACTAATTTTTACAGTATATTCATACTATAAAATATTGCATAACAATGAAAAAGAATGTAACAATGCTACATGCAACATAGATGAATCGAAAGACATAACATTGATTGAAATAAGAAAGGGTATATGTTGCATAATTGTATTTATATAAAGTTCCAAAGCAGAAAACTTGATTCACGGTGATACAGATCTGAATATTTTAGGGCAGAATTAACAAATTAAAGTAGGCATGAGAGAGCCTGCTGGAGTTCTGGATATGGTCTATATCTTGATCTAGGTGCTAGATATTTATGGAGATATACATATATATATAACATATATATGTAAATTCACTCATCTACATATCTTAGATATAAGTTATACTGCAATAAACCTGTAAAAGCTAGATGACTTGGGGAGGGAAAGCCATAGGAAATAAGTAAAGCATTTGTAACATTATCACATGTATTTGAAAAATTAGAGAAAATATGCTAATAATGGAGGTTTGACAGGTCTTATAGGGCATTTACAAAAAGAATTAAAGAGAGGTACATTTCAATATTTTGCACAAAAAACAAAAAAATGAAGTAAATATTAATTCCAGAAAAAAGCCCCAAAATTTATGAAAGAAAGCAGGATAATTATAGACTATTTGGATCAATAGTGTGCATGTGTTTATAGTTATAATAATGTAAAAACTAATTAATTAATGACAAATTGAGATTTAAATATTCTGGAGAATAAGGGAAGAGTAAAACAAACAAAAGTATAAAAATATCTATCTTATGTACTACACGAAGACAATAGATAATAGCTAAAATTAGTAAGTCAAGAAATCGTAATGTAAATGTATCTTTTTGAAATATGCAAAAGAATAAAAAAAGAAACTTTGAAAAAATTATGGCTTTTAAGGTTCTTAGAAGGGTGGAATGGTATTTGGGGAAAGGGAAAGTAAAGCACTGTCGATTTTCACTATGTTTTATCATTGTTTTACATGAAAGTGTAACTGTAATCAAAATTTAAATAATAGAGGAAAATCCAGCCAAAAAATAGCAGAACCAAAGTAAAGTAAAAGGAAATGAAAACAACTTTGGAAAAAGAATAGGGTGAGTTGAATACATGTACATATAGAACAACAACTAAATGCTGAGGGCATTATGATTGCACTACAAAATGCACATGTTAACTTGATGAAATAAAAGTGATTACACAGTGGGAAAAACTGAGCATTTGGGGAGCAGAAAGTAAAACATACTAACCTCATCTTTAGTAGAATGTAATCTTTTAACACTGCCTAAATTTGAAACATTAATTTAAAATAATGACTTCATTCAATATTTCTGTATCGTCATTTTTCCTTAGACAATAATAAATAATCTAAAAAGTACTCAAAGAAATTTTTATCTTAAAGTTAATATATCATTATTTTTACTTTATATTAACTTTATATTTAAAGATAGCATGTAAAGTCTAATCTCATTTTTAATAAAATAGTACCTCCATGCTTATCTACCTAAAATAATTCTATCATTAGCCACAATTGTTTATGAGAGAGAGGACTTTGAGAGATACATGACTTTCTTTTTCTTCACTCTTCCATATTGCTTATATTTTTATAATAACCTTATTTTACAAAATACAATAATTTTTAAAGATCAGTTTTTACAATATTATCATGAGTACAAAGAATGAAACACCAAACTGTTGTCATCTTCTTCCTCTGAAAACAGAGCATGTATTTTCTATACCACTGATGTGGCAATGAAAACCATAATGATTCTGAGATCTTTTGTATTTTATTAAATTATTGAGTTTATGTATTTCTGTCTTTTCTCGTGATATAAATATTATCTCTGAGGGCAGATGCTTTATTTTTCAATCCAAATTCCTACACAATGCCAAGCACAATTTCTTGAACAGATATTCAACAATTTTTTTACATATTTATGTATGCAAATGAGAAAAAATCTGACAGAAAACATATGGGAATCACGTGTAAGTTGTATATGAATCATCAATATAGTTCTGTAATTCTGTGTGTAGTAGTGTAGTATCTCACCCAGCCTGGATGCTAAATAAATAAATTGTTTAACAAATAGAAATATTATGCCATAATTCAGTATTTTTATGTTTGAGGAACGGTAGAAGGAGGGTTTTCTTCATATTGCATATAGCCAGAATAAGTTGGTCTACAGTTATAAAAATAATAGGAGTATAAATAAAATTAATAATTAAAATTATCAAGCACTTAAAATAAATTAGGTCTCTGTGTGTTTCACACATGCTGTTTCATTTAATTCTCACAATTACACTACTAAGTATTAATGTTATCCTCATTTTACAGATGGGAAAACTGAGGTGGTATTAGAATCAGGACTCCAATGCGGGCAGTCTGCCCTGCCCTATACCCTATACTTTTAATTTCTAATAGCAAAGGACACAATAATATTATTTAAAAGATTACAGTAGATTATTTGCAGGGATATGAGTTAGATTAGTCAATATCAAGCAGCCTGTGGGGTATTCTCAACTACGCACAGTATGTGAAGGCTTACTGGGAGTCTGGTTTCCTACCAAGGAGAAAGAGGAAACAGAACATATCATGCACTCCAAGAGTACAGTAATCTATGAAGAATTTACAGAATTGACTTTTTGACTCTATAAATCAAGAAAATTGTAGAATGAGCTATGAGTATATGTTAACGTAAAGAATTAATACTCCCATGTTATTTGGCTGGGTATCACAATTGGCAGACAGCTACGTGAAATCAAAACTAGAAACAATCATAACCTGTCTTTCAAAGTCCAAGAAAATGGCACAGGTAGTCTTTCTCAATACTCTAGATGCATTTTTACTTATGTTGAAAATTGAGCCTTTTTATTTGATGTATATTTTCTCAATATCCTAATTTGACATCAAATATCATTCCTTTCTTCTCTACAGATGAAGTCATTTCAGTATTTTAATCTTTGGTTTTCTCAATTATTATTCACGGAGGCTTTCTATGTACCAGGCATGTTGCTAAGCAGTTAACATGTATAACCTCATTTAATCCTCACTGAACTGCACGGAGTTGGTCCTGTTAGTCTTATTTTACTGATGTTCTCATTGAGGCTCAGAGGGGTTAAGTTATTTATCAGAGCCACAAAGATAGTTGTTGATCTTTATGCTGACTTTCTTTCTTTTCATACGAAACTACGTTGTGTTGAAATATAAAAGTTAATAAAAACTCTTTTAATAAGCCATGGTTTTCTTTTCCCTTTTTCTAGAAAAAAAGTTTGTACCTGAATAATATCTAGGACCACAGACCCCAAAATAGTTCTTTATAAATTCTCAAAAGTAGCCCAGTGGCCTTGCACTGTACTTCATTTTATGCACTTGAATTAAATCAACCCCTAGTAATTCTCCCCATTTAAAGAGGGTTACTGTCATTAAGATTGGTCAACTTTTATAGGCTTTGCAATGAAACAATAGATGATAAACTTGAAACATAGAAATATATAATTTCCATTCCTGGAAAGCTTCATCATAATGAAAAGACAATACTATTGAAGATGGAATCAAGATCCGCAAATAAATGATTTAAAATGTACATCTTACAGTCTTGCATGATAAAGTGGCAGCATTATATAATGGTTCAGCAGGAACAAAATACAGCCATATTAATTTTTATAAATTTACCATATTCTTTCAGATTCAATAATGCCTTGTTTATTTATCTTAAATATTCTGTAACAAATGTTCAAGCCTGAAAGAAATATTTATCAATAATTTATATCAATAATTGCTTTTCCACCAAAACCAGCTTACATTACATATTACCAAAAGAATGAGACTAAACATATATTAAAATTCTTCTTATTCCATATGCACAGCTTCCAATGGCAGATTTTCTTCC